GCAAAAAATCCTGTGAAAAAGTTGCATACAAACCTCTTACAATCTCTCAGCTGTCTGACACTGGGATCTGACTGCCTTTGCTCCTCTCCCGATATCTGCCCCACAAGATCTGGTTTCTGCTGTTTCCCACTCTGGCTTACTATCTATCTTCCTTTCATTTTCTTCTCTACCTGATGCTCTAATCCTGTTGGTCCCTCTTATTCTCATCTATCCCTACATTCCTGGATCAAGCCCCAGCTCTATTCCTATTTGCTTTTCCAAACATCTGACTTTTGCATCCCTCCCTTTCATTCTCTTTCCTTTCTCCTCATCAAGAGCTCACTTCTTTCCTCAGTACTCTCCTCACCTCTCTTTACCTCATAGGCACCTTCTGTACTCTTCCACCTGCTTCTTTCCACCTTCCCCTCTTTCTTCATCATCCCTCACTCTCTGCATCCCACTGAGATGGTTTTCTACTTCGTCCTGCCTGTGGCAGCAGGTGAAGCACAAAGGCAGAGGGAGGTGATAAAGTTAGAGATGCTACCCTGAAGCCCCAAGACTCAAGTGTGCTTCTGCGCTTCCCCAGCCTGGGCCATTCTCTGGTCATGCCTTGACTCTGTGTCAGGATAAGACTCAAGCATGTCTCAGTTCTGCTGCCATGCTGCATCCAGTGAAAAGGAAACCCAAGCCGAAGTGTTTGAAAGGGAGACAAGACTTGCTCTGTCCCAGGCCCTGATCCAGGTGACTGAGGAACCAGGACTAAAGCCCAGCACAGAGTAGACCCGTCCAGGTGTAGTCAAATGAACAGTAAAACCTCCCATAACAGTCTTTAAAGCTGGGCACTCCTTTTTATGGTATCAGTCTTGCTTTGCCACCAACTGTGCTCAAGAACTGGCCACAATCCTTACCATTGATTACTGGGATCACTGCACTCTTTAAAGCGTAAGGCAGAAAATTCTCCACCAGTGACACCTGCTGTGAGGGGGAAAACACATTTGATGATTAGTGCCTGATGCCTGGGGGATTGCAGCTTGATGGGGGAGATGGGTTAGAACTGGAGTGACATGCAAAAAGACCAGAGCAGAGCTTTGCAGAGAAAATCTCAGGTAAAATAGATCTTTTTTGGTTTAAGTTGCAGCTAAACAATGTAAAATATACACAGCAAAGAAGCGTCCATTTTTCTCACAATAAGTTAAATTGAAGGTTTTTTTTTCTTTTTTTTTTGTGTTTTTTTTTTTTTGTTTTTTTTCTGTATGTTAAGTATCTGGGTTGAACCTTAACTTCAGGAATGAAATCTGTTCAATCTCATTTCAGCTGCCAGGACTCAGCCCTCAGAAATGAACTGTTCTCTGGGTGGCAAGAACTGCCCTGTCCTGGTGCTCTGCCATATGCCACTGTCATTAGTGTCCTCCCCCCTTCACTTAAAGATGTAGATTGGGCTGAGCTGCTGCAGAGTCACACTGACTGTTTCTCAGTCTACAGTGAAAGATCTAAGCAGTGGCATGGTGTTTCTTTTATTCCCTATTTTTGACTCCCCTTTTTACAATATTTGGTTGAAGTGATTCAAGGTAATTACTGAAACTGAGCTTAAGCCTGACTTTGTATTCTCTCCAACTGCTAAGCCTACTCAATCCAGCTGTGAATTCAGGCTGGCTTGTCAGAAACAGATAGAAGAGGTGTTAGCCCCATGCCAGCCTTTGTGCTGCTGGATACAGAAGTGAGCAGAATCAACTATGACAGCCTGCTAGGTCATGCACCCCCAGGCAGACATTTCTCTTTGTTTCAATTAATATTACATGGTAATAACTCCATAACATTTGGAGCCTCTGATGGGAAAAAACCCCACAGCACTCCAAGAGGTATTTCCTCTTACTGGAAAGAAAGAGAAAAGCAGAGAATATACTATTTCAAAGTGGAAAGAGCAGTGGCAGATGGTATCCCCAAGACAGACCAAGAATTGTCCAGCAACAGGTTTAGATGAATTTCTTTTATCTCTGAAGGGCTCAGCTACCTTTCCTAGGCACTGAAACCATCGACGTACCTCAGAGAAGCCAGGAGTGGAGTGCAGCAGGGAGAACTGGAGCCTGAGGAAAAGAAGCAAAAGAAGGGGATTCTCTAGAAAGGATGAAGGCACAAATTATGCACACTGCTTGAAGATTCACTTGTGGAATTTCGTGCGGATTTCATGCTGATTCACACATTTAATTTTGATTTGATCAAAGACTCTTTGATTCCCAACAGCTTTTAATCAAAACTGGCACAACTACAAATGAGTTCTAGAATCTCTGGGATCTTTCTGATACTAATCTCTTCCTACAGTCATGTGTAGTCCTGGGCTGTGACTATAAGCCCTGGGAAATCAAATTTTTCTGGAATGGCCATTTCTTGCAGTGTCTGAACTACACATTCCTCAAATGTTCATTATGATTTGCATAAACTCATATGCATTCCTAACCATTATGATTTCCTAACTTTTTCCACTGATGCCTGTAATGCATCATCATTGCAGATCACTGTAAATATAATCCTGTGGAAAAACAACATTTTGAAGAACAGAACACATTCTTGTGTCAAAAGCTCTAAATGAGTGGCACCATTACTGCTTAAACTTATATTGAGAGGCTCTGATCTCTAAGCCCTCTTTTCCTGTTAAAAAGGTCCAGTGACCAAAACTAGAGAAAAGGCTGCTCACATTTTTCTTTACTGAAAATGCAATAGGGTAAAAAATATCATATATCCTGGAATTCTGCCCCAACTTGGAGTATAGAGCTAACCAGATGAAACACCAATGTGGGCTACTTGCCTGAAAGTCTGTGCTTCTACCCACCGGCTGCATTTAGGGAGAAAGGGGCTATAAACCTAGTCCAACTTGAAGTGTCAATAAAATTTGTTGTAAGACAGCTGAGAACACCTGTACCTGTAGGTAACCACAAAACCAGCAAGATCTAAGCAAAATCTAAAAAGCTCTGAGCTTTGCTTCAAACTACAGACACCTTTCTAGTCGCATTTGTTTGATGGCATGGTGTCTGCTGTTGCAGTATATGTTATGTAGTCTCATTTTTCCCTTACCCTCATGGGAAGGCATACAGAGAGTGCATGCCTTAGTTACAGTGGTCCATAGCTACATGTATGCTATAGTTACAGTGGTCCACTGCAGTGTTTGCACTCTAGCGGTTCTGTTTATGATGCTCAGACATGGCACGGCAGCAACATTTAAGAGGGTTTTGAATAAACTGCTGAACTTCATTCTCCAAGAGCACAGACTGAAACAGATGTCTTTAAGATAACCAATAAATTGAACACTGTCATCTGGAAAGGTATTTAACCTACAGAAAGGGGTAGTATCACATTGCACAAGAGATATGGTTGTTCCATAATATTACTATATTTCATCTGCAAGATTTAGACCAACCAGTCAAAAGTATGAGAGTCCCTGTGAGAAAGAAGGTAACTAATTTTCTTTTTCTCATGGTGAAACAAGCACTGTCAGGCTGACACAATGAAGTTCTGTTGTGTCCTAGTGTTGGGATCATTAATGTTGCTTTCTGAATTTTCCTTGGTTACCTCTTCAGAAGTAATGAGATAATCAACTTCTGTTTGGTTATTGTCAAATTGGCTCTGGTACTGGCTGTCTGCAGGGAAAAAAACAAATAAGTCTTCTGTGACTGTATACACAGATAGATACTGTCTTAGATACAGGTACAAATGCAATTACTTTTGTGATTGGAAACACAATGTCTAAACTTTTTATTCAGTCAATACATGTAGATAGTGAAATCATTTGTGAATTTGCTGCTTTCTGCCAACAACTGAGATTGTGTGAGTGAAGTGATAATACTGCCCTGATTGCCTCCTTATCTTTAGGATCATTTAAGTCCTTCCATGGCTGACATAATTGGTCCACTTTCAACCTAATGAAAAGATGCCTGGGGACATAGTGAACTATTTTATAACAAACACGTTAGCAAGACTGGGCATCAGATAACCACATTTTTATATATTACAATTTATTCTTGAATAATCATTCAACCTCCCACATGAAAAAAAGGGCTTTCATAAGTAGTGCTCTGCACCTGCCTATTAAATTCTACAATATGTGGTGCATGTTTCTTCCCTGTGAAATGCAACAGGACAGTATGCATATCTGTGGCAGACCAGTATATGCTATTTTATGCTGATCTTTATGATTTTCAAAGGATCTGGAAGATTACTGTGTGATTTGTTCAGCCCCAGCACTGAATGTTATCTTCGAGCTCATGTTACTTACTAGATTCCCTGTAAAGATGTACTGGGTGGTTGAATCTGGAAGAATAGCAAACACTTCTACACAGGCAGTGATTTGTAGGATGCATCTGTCTGCATTTAAACTGACCGCAGGTGGTGATGTAGCCATCAGCTTCAGCAGCACTGGGCTCGCTGTTACGTAACTCAGAGCAGTCTGTGGAATTTCAGAGGAAAAAACCGAGGAATGCAATGTTAAGTTTTTCTTAAGCTACAGTTGCTGTGGCTGCATCATAATCAGGTGCTATATAACAATCCTCTTGTTAATTAACCTATATTAAAAATACTTAATTTTAATTACATCAACTGAAATGATGGAATTAGTATTGCATATACTCTGAGTTTTAGAGACCATAAAACAAATGATGAAATTTTAAACCCACTGATATTGAACATAAATAGATAAATAATTTAAAGGTTGTTCCTGAAAAATGTACTTCAAGAGGAGGCAATTAGCACTGCATGTTAAAGAAATGAGGGAAATGAGCGATTCCAGTAAAAAAAAAAATAAAATTAACAACCCTGACAATATAAAGAATTTGGAAAAGAGGCAGCCTTCCATAAGAGCCGATCTTCTGAAAAATAGAGAAACTCCTAGAGGACAAAACTTTAGTTTGCAATGCCACAGATTCCAAGTTTCATAATTTTATAGTAAACATTGCCATATTAGGGATTTTTAAAGCATCTTATAGTATCTTAATTTCTTGCATCACATCCATAAACTTAGCTGCTCATGACTATTACTTCCCATTGTATATAATCTCCAGGTATCTTTGCATGGAGAAGTCAGGCTACCAAGAGCAGAGATACCATTACCTTGAACAGGAATAAAAGGAGACTTGATCTCACAGATGGCTACCACTTAGTCTTTATAAGTGTTTCAGAGACTGACAGCAAATCCAGCACTTAGAGGGGTAGAGAATGACTAAAGAGTAGCGTGATTTAGTTAGGAAGAACCTTTCTTAAAAGGTCTGTACAAGTAAAAGTACTCACCTTAGGAACAAAGTCTTTGAAAAAGGCAGTATTTAGCTTAAAAGTAGTAGCAATCTGTAAACAAATGAAATAAATTAGATCATTATATCAGCTTGAAAATAAGGTTTTCCTTGGGAAAAAAACATATCCTGTTTTCTTTAGTTTTAGGTAATCCATGTTTTGATTTAGTATTTCCTTGCCTCAGAATGATTCCTAGGGAACCCACAGTGCTTTGTAGGACAGAAGAGAGACAGATTTCTCATGGCCATGTTTCAGAAGCACATACCAGTGAACAAGCATTATTCTTTGAAAGAACAGACGTAGCATCATGCTTACTTCCTGCCTTTGGGACTTTCTTAGATGAAATATACTGAATCTCTCAGAGGCAGGACTCAAAAATCTCATTTGCCCTTTTGCTGCTGACCACTGTGATGATGTTTTTCAGTGCCATTTGTGTCACCAATTTTTATAAAGACCCTCTTAGCACTGTTTCAGTTAGCAAAACTTCTTGGAAACTCTGACTACTAATGCCAGTGTGGAAACGGCATTTCAGAGAGAAATCTTGCATGTTCTTCACCCACAGATGAAAGCTTAGTTTCCTTGTACCTGCTTCTTGCCTCATTTTGCTGCTCTGTTAATTCTGAGGGTTTATTCTAGCTCTCAAAGCAGCCAGTACATTTGTTGCGGGCCTCTATGTTGCAGAATGTGGCTTGAGTACACTTTTTCCTGCGTTGCTCTTTCCTTTCCGATGTGGAATCCGTGCAGAGACAAGCTTTTTTTTTTGGTTCTTTCTGCCACTCCTTGCACTCCAACTCTGTGATGTTCACATCTGTTATTCCTTGCCTACAGTTGCCAAGAAGTTCAGACTTAGGGCTGAGGGAGACTTTGACTATTTTAAATGATGACCTACAGAATGAACGTCATGAATCCCTCCTACAAGTGGTAGAAGTGTGACACAAATCTTTGTAAAATGGGAAACAGAATGTGTTAGTCTCCTTTGCTGACTATCCCTACTGCTGATATTTGTAATTCTATTACATGCAAATTATACTCACCTCTTCGGAGACGGTGATGTTAAAGGCCCCTGCTCTGTAGTAAGCCAGTGAAGCAGACTTAAGAAAATAACTGGAGACTCCCAGGTATAGCATGGAATCACCCTGGTTTGGGAGAGCAAACGGAGCTGGCACAAAAGGAGGGTCTGTGTGATTTCCTACTGGGTAGACTGTGCCCTGCAAAAAGTCATTATCAAGTATTTCTAGTTGTAAACATTTGCATCTGTCAGAATGCATTAGCGGTGGTTGAACAGAAAGAATTCTTCCTAATCTGAAGAAAAGCTTGGCATTAAAGAAAACCTAGAGTAAGCAAATAAGTTTGTGACATGCCCTGAAAATCAGCAAATTCAGGCTCTTTTGGAAAAATACAGGAATCACAGAGAAAATCTGGCCTCCATCCTCTCAAAGTCTGAATTTGAGCATTCAAGTGAATATTCTGAACTGCAGCTATGAGATGCAAAAAAAAAAATCCTGTAGACCAGAGTTTTCTTTCTCGTGTGACAAAGACACATTTGTTAATTTAATTTTAAGGGTGACATTTCAAGAAAATTTTCAGGCATACCCCAAAAGCACTGGAAGTTTCTTAGGACAGGGACACAAAGGAGCATTTTATACTACCTAGCTCTTAGCCCTGGTCCAGCTGCCAGTCCTCCAAGACCTAGTTGCTGCACAGGTGTGCGACCTTGGTTCAGTTATACGAAGAAAATAATTCTTAAAATGTGAGAAGGTATGTGAGCTCAGGTCATGTAAGACAAGAAAAGTAAGAACAGACAGTAAGTAGTATAATTACTGACACTGTAATAGTTAGTAGCTGAAAGACTCAACAGGAAAAATACTGACATGGAAAGGTATAAAACCCTAAGAAAAAAGTTGAGAGTTGGAAGATGGCAACTCATTATCATCAAGAATCAGCCTGTTCCAAGGAGGACTGAAGGCCAGTAACTTCCTTAACTGGTTAATAACTGACATACAAAGGCTCATCCAGTATCCTGTTGGGATGTCAGCATGTTAAAGCTTAGCCTGTAAGTTTTAGTCAGCTATAGCAGCTGATAAATAATTGCTTAGTACTTTTAAGCTATGTACAGCCTGCTTGCAGAATGGTTTTTGTGGGTGGTAAAAGTTGCTTGAACAAAATAACCAAGAGGGAGAGTTTCAACCACAGCTCTAGCACACCTTTCTTAACTGAAGTCAGTTCTGAGAGCCATGGGGATGCTCTGAATTACAAGGACAATTGAAGCTGCTGGAAAAGCTGGGCGTTGCTGAGATCTCTCTTGCCAACAAAGGTGAAAAATAGATAAGAAAGGAACTGCTGTGTGCTGCTCAAGGACTGACTGTGAGAAGTCTTTTTTTTGGGTGTGACCTGTACATATACAAGATGCTGAGTCATGTCAAAACAAATGCTTTGGATTGCAATCAGTTGGTAGCCATCATGGATTATGTATCACCGGTAATAGGCAAAGACCAAGCAGCAGCGGAAGAGCTGTGTATCTAAAGAACACTTTTATGCTGTTTATAAAGCACCTCTGAAGGGCTTCAACTCTGAAATAATTTAATTCTAAATAATAGCTTTGGTTAATTAACAAAAGCAGTTAATTTACTGAATAAACAATCATATCTGATTTCCAAGATAGCTCTTGACCAAAATGTCCAAATGTCTTATTGCTTTTCTAATTAAATATTGGAGAGGCTGAGTAAGACTGTAGTGAAAGAAAATGATTCAACACAAAAGAGAATCAGAAAAGTCTTAGAAAGCACACTGATATTAAAGAAAAATTACCTTCAAATCCAAGTTAATGTGTGATTTGAAGACTGCTGGAGAGCTAACTAGGGAATAGTCAATTTGTGCAAAGGCATCAATCTGGCTTAAGACTAGAAGAATGACGGAAAAAAACAAAACAGCCATTATTACAAAAACACATCACAAACAGTTATTGTTTAGTTAAAGGCAAAGGCATTATAGAAATGATGAATCTGAAGAAGAATGGTGGGAGAAGGAAGAAGAAAAAAAATTGTTGTAACGGAAAGAGTATTCCCCCTGGAAAAGTCACAGATTCCTTCTGGTTTAGGCCTTGTTTTCCTATTGTTCACAACAGAATACACTCTCGGAAATCTCTCCCATGCAGTGAAAGAAGGAGTATCTAGGGCCGAGTCCCCTTTTTTGTTATGTGTTTGCACAGGAGAACTAAACTCTCCTGTATGATCAGTGAAATACTGATAAATAATACTAAATACTTTGGAAGATGACATTAGCACATTTTTACACATCAGTGTTGAAGACAAGGGATGTTTGTTCACAACAACAGAGGGCACTTCATCAGACAATGATTGAAGACTTTTTCTGAAAGGCGCTCTCATGCAACTTCAGTCTGATTGTTATTTTTGATTGGACTGTGAGGTCTGTTGCTACTGTATAAAAATCAGATGGGTTTAAAAAGAAATGGTGAATTCACACTGAGATTATGAACTCCTCAATATGACAGCACAGCTTGGAGTGACCTTAAGCCTGAAGCGTTTAGGCATGTGCTACAAAAGAAAATGTTCTCGATGGCCATGATTTTCAGTAATATTTGCCACTGCTTGGCACATGGCAGGTATAAGCCATTTTAGGAAAAGTAAAAGTCCACTTACTCTGCTTCTGAATAGCAGAGGAGATAATAGAAATATCCACAATGAAAAGTGAAGAGTGGGAACAAACTCTCTGACCTGAATTATATGACTTAGGTGAATAAATTTGGATTGGATTGGTGAAAATTACAAATATTCTCAGTCTTGGAAAAAACTGTCATCAACAATAAAAAAAGAAAAAAAAAAAGGAAAAGCTGTGGGATTTATTATAAAAGTGAAAATCTTATATATGCTTTTTGGCTACAGGTATCTACTGTCTTCACGTCTCTGCAAGAGTGAGACAGGAATTGTTATTGGTGTGAAGAAAAGCATGCTTAGTGTGACACTGTCTTCCTGCAGCATCTTATCTCACTGAACTCAAAGTTCAAAACAAGATGTGCCAAGTTTACAAGATCTTACAAGGATGTTTGCTAGCTCTTTAATGGATTACTGCTAATTCAGGTTTTCTTATGTCCACAGTACCAAGAACATACAGGATCAGCATTAGAAAGTTCATCTCAAAGATCTAAGGAAATAACACAGGTCAGCTACAACACACTGAAAGATTACAGGTGACCTGCCATGGACACATAAGAAATCTGAATATTGTATATAAGGTGTATGCAAGAGATTTCTAGGATGGACTCTGAATTAGGTTAAGGTACAGAACAATGGCTGTATTTTTCTTCCTTCACTTTTTTCTTACTGTGAACACAGGAATGGTTTGGCATCTAATAAAAAAGGCTACAATTTGAACACTATGAAAATTACTTAACAGAAAGCTGTTATCAACAACTCACCCTTATGCTTTCTTAGTTGTGCATCCATCACTTGGATTTTGTATTTGATAATTAGGCATAGCTATGTGAAAAGAGAGACAAGTCAGTAACACAAGGGCTGTATTTCAACATCTTCCTTCACTAGCTGAAACCATCCTTGCAAACTTACATTTTTATCCAATTTGATGTGAATGGACTTCTCAAGATAACCATATAGGAAGCTGTAGATCCAGCTGAAGGAAAGGAAATGAACACAGTGGCTTTTTACCATAAATTGAAATCCTTGAAATACAAAATCTGGCAGACTGGGATGTCAATGTCATTTATATTAATGAGATGCAATTACAGCAATATTGGTAGACTGTGCAGTTGACTATTTTTATTGATTTGTGAGTCTCAGATAAATGCTAGGGGTTCTCAGACTCATAAGAGCTATTTAGAAGGCAATCTACAAAGTAGTGAATGTTCATGTTAACTTTTTGATAAATAATACTCAATTAGCTGCATTTTGTCTTTGAGTAAGACAAAAAAATTTTCTAGAAAATCAAAATTAGGAGAACTACAAGCATTGTTTCGTATTCTCTTTTGAAATTTTTATTCTGAAATTGTAGGTCAGCATGTCAAAAGGCATAATCAGTCTAGACCACCTTCACATCTGCAAACCTCCCTTTGCAATCTGCTATTCTTTAATATGCCCAAATGGCATTTTTTCATATGCGGTATGTTTAGTCAGCTCATTTGTTGGCACATGCACAAAGAAGTGTAGATTAACCGCACTTCACACACTCAGCGAAGGAGCCTGGTTTTGAAAACAGACATTTAAAAATCTATTTACATAGCCTTCAATAGTTAGTTGTATCCTGTAATTGGATCCCTAAAAGTCACAATCTGAAAAGTGGCCCTTATGCTACAAACCCTTCTACCTCCCACAGAGTAGTTAGAAAATCTACTGTACATACCTAGGTCCTCCGTTTAACTTGACTTTTACACTATTAATGCTCAGCTGGCAATTGTGTAGCAACATGGACAAGCGGCCTGTGCTATCCCTTGACACTTTGAAGATAACTGCAATAAACAGTCCTGAGATGGACACAGTAATTCCTCCTTGGTCTTTGCTGCTCAGAGAAAAAAAAAAACAAACCAAAAACCAAACCTGGTCACAGAAACATCTGCTTTAAGGGAAAAATTTAAGAAACTACATGTAAATCAAGTTTGAAAGGACTTTTTGCTTCTACCATCTAGAATGAAGAATGGGTTTTCTAGGGATTAAAGTACATTAGGTTACGGTATGGTATTCAAAAACATATTATATGCATGGCTTTCCAAGACATGAATCTTCCAGTGTTGTGCAGGATTTGACAAGTTTGCAAAAATGTGAAAATTTCACAGCAACACAAGACATTCCTTCATGACAGATCACCCTGAAGGCCTCTGGGACTGCAGCAGCAGAAGTCAGTTAGCTAATAAATACATAGCCCAGTGGTTCTCAACTTTGCAGTTGTTCCACTTTCCTCTTTCCTGTAACAATTTTCAATAACCCTTTAAAACATATACATTTCTCCATTCTCCATCCTGCCCCAAACCCATTCATTCTAGAATCACAGAATCATTAAGGTTGGAAAAGACCTCTAAGATCATCAAGTCCAACTGTTAACCCAACACCACCATGCCCACTAAGCCATGTCCTGAAGTGCCATGTCTACATGTTTTTTGAACACCTCCAGTGATGGTGACCCCACCACCACCCTGGGCAGCCTGTTCCAATGCTTGACCACTCTTCCCATAAAAAATTTTTCCTACTATCCAATCTAAACCTCCCCTGGTGCAACTTGAGGCCCTTTCCTCTCGTCCTATCGCTGGTTACTTGGGAGAAGAGACAACACCCACCTCACTACAATCTCCCTTCAGGTAGTTGTAGAGAGTGGTAAGGTCTCCCCTCAGCCTCCTCTTCTCCAGACTAGGCTTTGTGTTTGGGAACAGCTGATTTACCCTGCT